CAAGAGCAAAAAAAATAAATAAAAAATAAAACGTATAGAAAAAATAATAAGAATTGTCAAAAAGCTCTGATTAAATTTACAAGGAGTAAATTATTGAAGACTATCACTAATCTATCGCATCATCTCATATTCTAACACAGTAATCTAGTTTAACCAGCATAGCAAGTTTGCTAAGTGAAACTTGAATAATCAGACAATAGGAGCTCCAAGGTAACAATGCAAATGTACAAAGCACTACAGAACAATCGGACCAGGTTTATTGGAAGAGAAATTTCCACAGCTCTTTTCGATTGCAATTCTTAACCTTTTGTTACAAGGTTATTTTAACCCACTGAGAATAAAATTAGCACGCTAATATTGTTAAGATTAGATAAAGTTGTGTGAATGTGGATGTTGGAAAATTTTAAACTTTCGAATTTCTTAAACTCAATGTGGATGATTTTGGAAAGTAGCAATGCACTGTTTATAGTATGTGTTATGGAACCTGTTTCCTTACCCTCCGTATACCGGAACGAGTCCTTGGAGGCTAGCGGCCGTCTTGGATAATTTCAAACAGCTGCCGAAGAGTTATTTATCGTCCAAAAATATGTTTTCAAACACCAAAGTGATTATTTTAAATATCTAGTATACTGTGAGATTATAAATGCTCTTTGCAGTTTTTAATTGTTCTCCAAGGGAGTCCATGGAAGCTAAAGGCCATCTTGGATTTGCCCACTTTAAGAGCAATGTTAATTTTGTTCATTTCAAACAGCCGCTGTAGAGTTATTTACCATCTCAAAATATTTTTTTTTAACACCAGAGTGATTTTAATTTAAATATCTAGTAAACTGTAAGATTAGACATTTTCTTTGTGGGTCTTTAATGGTAGAACGTCTAGGCTCCAAGGACTCTTAAACCATTGGCCAGTCCACAGGTAACCGACCAAGATACAGGTTCCATCATACAAACTATAGGCACTAAGAGTGATGTAAACCTATTTAATTTCAGAGTGAATCCTCCCACTTCCTCCGAACTTCCTACGCAAGGATCTAGTCCAGAAAACAGCTGTTTGCCACCAGCTTAGTCAAATGGGGTTTCATTACGTACTACTGTACTGTAATGCGCTTTTACCGGACACCGACCAGCTGATTATATTTGGCAATGAGTGGTTATAAACAAAGAAATAACCTCTACGTACGAGTAGACAGTACTCACTGCATAGATTTATTTAGACACTGCATAGATTTAAGTAGTGATTGTTAGTCGTTTAGTTAGTAGGAATATGTCAGGATTTGTACAAATTTGTATTGTTAAGTTAGCTTAGTAGTATGACGTAAAATTTCGTACGTCACTCGTCCAAAATGTGTGTACCGGACTCGTATGGTAATCCCGCACTCGACTTCGTCTCGCACGAGAACGACCACACTCTTCCGGTAAACACCTATTTTCAGGACTTGTACCGTAATATACTATTACTGTTATTATCATTCAATCATGATGATTTACGTGTAGCATTATGTATAAACTCCGAGGAGTGGCTGATCTAAAAATAAAGGCAGCACTTCGTCCCTGAGGACCCGGGTTAAATCTTGTCAATGACCATTGGATTTATACTATATACAAAATTCTTAAAGTTCCCCCTAAAATTAAAATAAGTAACCTTCAAGTACTGTAAACTACTAAACTAATACTAAACTATGGGTCTCTTATGGTGGTGAGAACTGCATAAGAATGAAATTATCTTTCTCCTTCAGAGAAAGATAACATATTTATGTTCTCAGATAAGAACAAATTTGTATTTATATAAGTGGGCCTAGAACTTAGGACAGACTCTAAAAATCCTAGAGCAGAACAATATAATAAAGTTATATCACCCTAATATATACGAGAACCAGATTGTGCTACAAAAACTATAGTGTGTTGTTCATATTTTGATTTATTTAACTTCCAATCAGTCATCAAGTTTATTACCTTCAACATTTAATTTGTCAATTGGTTAAGACTATATCACAGGTTATCGTTTGTTCCTCCCTGTTACAACGATATAATCATAGATTTAAGGAACTGTGTTTCAAATCGGAATAAGTAAAAAAAAATAAAAAAAAATACAATTGCACAATTCCATGGCCCTGAAGACTATTATTGCTGTTACTTGCATTCTTTTCACGCACCAATAATTTTTCATTTCCAACTGAGATGTGGTGTGAAATGGAAACAGAAATTCGCTGAAAACATTTTTCAATATTTTTCATCATTCTAAATTCCTATTAAATTCACTAAAATATATTTTAGTGGGTAAGAGTTTTTGGAAACAATTATACTATTCACAACTTTTGTCAAATTCTGATTACAGTAATCTGTATTAATAATCCGTTAAAAATAATCTAAATATCTTTCGAATCTGTAACTATCTATATTTATTGTAGACTAAAATGAAATCGTATCTTTAACATAACTTACAAAATCAATGAAAACCCAAACAAAAACAATAAAGCAATCTATTACAATCAGTAGATTGACAGATCGTATTAATTATTGAACATTTGACTGTAATGTTAAGCTAATTGAATTCTAGAGCATTACCGGCATGTATATAATCATACTGATTTGATACATATTACTTTCTTTCTTGTAACAACATTTTAAACTTGTATTCTCTTTGTTCGTGTCATCGGTAGCATTCTGTGTTAAATGTCCACGAAAATATTTAAGGGAAATCACTCCAAATCTAATAATATTTGTGGATGTGTGTGGCATCGAACCCACCAACTATGATTAGGCTTATCATTAGTCTGGCAACAACTAACCCAATTACTGAAAAACACATATTAACAGATCGAACGATAACTATTATTCGATAAAGTTGTTTACCAAATATACCGAACAAGTCCCGGTCTTTCCCACAAAACAGCATAAACAAATCAAAATAAAATCCTGGAGAGAAAATAATGGCACAATCTGTAGTCAAGTTGTATTCAGCCTGGATTAAGTAGTTACGAAACAGGCGTTTAAGCTCTATTTAGACGACCACGAGAAGTTTACTTTGTTCGTGTAACTTTGAGATTATATGCACAAGTATGACAGAGTTAATAAAGCAAATAAAAGAGGTTTTATACAAGGAATCGCCCTCGACTCATGGTTATAACAAAAATTGACTAACCTTGAAATTGAAGTGTAACTTGGGTAATGTTAAACTTGTTTAAAAATTGGACTGAAAATATCTGTTATGGTAGTTAGTAGGCAGTGAATTTTAAATACGCTGCTTAAGCCTCATTCTCTCATATGAGTATATCATTGGTGTACATCATTGTGTACATTGTAGTACATCATTGGTGTGATTGGGTTTGTGATTTTGATCGTCAACCATTGCAATAGTAAGTAAACATATTATTGTAATCATTAGTTTACTTTGATAAAGGTTTTTACTTTTTATGTTAACATATTTAATACAGTAGAAGAGAATTTAAACGTTATTGAGTGCACAGGTGTGCTGCGATTGGGGTTTAATATATTTGGTATTATCTAAAAGTAAAATAGTTTTCTGTGCTGCGTTCTGTGGAAATATTGTGGCACTATCCCAAATCATGACTAATACAGAATGTCGTGATTATTCAAACTAACAGTTGGTGAAAATTAACATCTGCTTTTAAATTATATTTATTTGTAAACATTGTAGTTCCAAAAGTCTAACATTGGCCCACTTAAAACCCTCTGGGGCGGAGCCCTTTTGACGGATCTGCTCCAAACTCCACACAAACCATTCTTGAATAATGCTTAATAATGTCTGAAAGTTTCATTACAATCTGTCGAGCGGTTTCGGAGTCCATAAGGTACATACATATATACATACATACATAGTTCCTCTTTTATAGATATAGATAACCATTATGTACCATTTGCTTTTTTCGACTTGATATTTCATAAACAACCTACTGTTGTATTTTTTAGTGCATTTTATTTTATTACTATAGATCGTATTGCTATACATTGCAAACACTAGGTATCTTAAAAAATGTTTATAATTACCCTTTATAGTTAAAATATACTTAAAATTGCTATTTTTATGATTACCATTATTTTATTAGGTACTTTTTTGTCATGTATTATTTATATTTAACTATGTTCACAGTATATTTATTATTATTTTATTTCAATCGTATTAAAGTAACTATTTAAAAATTTACAATAAATTATAAAACGGTTCATACAGTAATAGGACATATTTTGCAACCATTACAGGTATAGAGAATAGAATCACAATCTAGTACCTCAGCTAAATTTAAACCTGACAGTCAAGTTATCGGTGGCAGAAACGGAGTACGGATCGAAGATCGTTATCGGACAGGGCTAAAAAAATGTCAGGATTCGTCAGGAGGCCCAAAAGCTGTGTTGAGCTCATCAGGAGAATCGTCGAGCTGGGGAAAGTGGATGCGGAGAATGGTAACGGAATTATTTGTGTCGTGGGACTTCATAGTGATATGAATTGGTGACATAAGGATAAATCTTAGGGGTCCTTACTAAGTTTTTAAGAGGTTATGGACGGATGTGCAGCATAAATAAGCTTGGAAGTTTGGAAGGTAATAACCTAATTCCCCCGATAGGTAAAGAGGTTATTCTATCTCCTCTCCGCTAATCCCATCTGATCCCATGACAACGGATCTCACTCCGAACGTTCTATGAAACTCACCACGTCAAATGCTTTGGTTAACTTCAGCCCTCACTTTTCGGCTCACCATAGAAGAAGTATGGTACACTTGGGGTCTACCACTAGTTTGGTGTCTAGGGCAAAGTCCAACACCACCCCTTCATGTACTACAACACTACCGGTGGAGGAAGACCCTGTCCCCTTTGCGATTGGAATTTCCGCACAGTGCTCGCCGTTCGGACTCTTCCTTGCTCGTCACAAGTATATTTCCAGCACAAAATACCAGCACAGAAACCGCATGCTGTCCCATAAGCTTGCTTCCTCTGTACCTTACTTAACTCTCCTTCTACAGATTTCAGTATATGATAGTACTCACCTATGCCGCACTTGTCGATGTGATTGGTGGCGGTGAGATGAGGCAGGCACTGACACGACTTGAGGGTCGTGTCGCACACGGATCCTCTGAACCCACACTCCTTAGTGTCGTCACATCGGTCGCCAAACTTCTTGTTTCCTCGCCCTTCCATTGACTCTGAAACAGAAAGATGTTATGTCAGAAGAAGTACACAGATATCGCACAGCGTGCACAAACCACAATTTGTCATGAGGAAATGACTTGATCAGCATTGATCGTGGTGAAGTTGTATGGCATAGATAAAATTTGTTACTACACTGTTCGATGCATATAGACTTGCTACTGTCTAACCTAGTAGAATTGTTGTAGGGAAGAATGAAAACGCTTTTAGGGCAAAGTGTTTCGAACGACTTAAATTTGAGTGGATATGTCGGGATTTGACCCAATTCTCCCGCTATGAAGTGCGAGACTCTAACCACTAGGCTGGCAATAAAACCAACTTCTGTGATAATTTCAACCAGTCGTCTGGCCCTATCTGAAACTTGAAGAAACTTGCTTAAATACTATATTGGCCAAACCGGAAGTGTTTGAGCAAGGAAGCTATTTAATTCATTTGGACTCGGGCTCAATGACTGGCGTGACTACCGAAATCAATAGTCGATCTTTCATACATGTGTTTACTGTCTTGTAAATAGTTATAGTGCACCCAATTAATGGTCTTGCTAGCGAGACAAGCCCTGGAATGGAATCCACAGGGAAATATAAGAAGAGGGAGACCAAGAACCACGTGGAGGCGGACTGTGGAGAAGGAGTTACAGAGTTAAAGCATGACATGGGCTAGGACAAAGGAGCTGGCCAACCAAAGGGACCGCTGGAGTGTGTTCGTCGAGGCCCTATGCTCCCCCAGGAGCGCAAGGACATGAGCAAGTCAATTAATTGTAATTAAAATACTCGATTGGAGATAGGAATAGGGTTTACTTTCGTCCACGTAGTAGAGATTTTTGGGTAGGGGACGAGTGGTTAAAATGCTCGCTTTTAAATCTAAAGGTCACTGGTTCGACTCCAAGCGTGATCATTACCAGACCTAGATGTCATTTGTCATTGCACCATTAACTAATGAGGCTATCTAACAAAAAGGTAGACGTTAGATATTAAAAAGACTTGGGTTTGGGCTATTCCCTTACAAAAAGTGCTGATGGCGTGGCCACGGTAATAAAACAATAAGGAATATATTTTTGCCAGCCTTTCGAATTAGTCAAAAATGAACCATATATCGAAGCAGTTTTGAAAACTTTATCACTGAAATTAGGCCTATGGATGGTCCTAAAGCGGTTTTGGAAGCTTTTGCAACAAGGGTGCAGAAAAAATCACTATCTGGAACATTCGTTGTCGTGAAGTTCCAGTCCATGGAGCTGAAACGCTACTGGACTGAGGCTGTTAAGACTATGGCCTTTCCAGCCAGGTTATGGTAAAGACGTGTAAATAACGAGAAAGAGTAATAACGAATTGCAATCCTGCCGCTGTCACTGGTTAAGGTAAGGCTGTTGTTTTTGAGAAAGCATGGTTGTGGGAGTGGTTCAAGGTTTGTCGGGTTGTTGTAGTTGGGTTGAGTGGTGTGAGTTTATTAATTTATGGATTTATTACTTTTCACACCAATCTAGCTTACAAAATACAGGGTGATACAGGGGTTCACCCCCAAATATTTGAAGTACCAAAAAGTAAACTCCTACAAATGACACACGAATGTCAGGTCATCGACATGCAGAGTGAGTCACTCTCGTAGCATGTCAGTCGCCCACCAAGCTCAAACTTACAAGATCGATATACAGTAACTTTTTTATTGTTCCAGGTGCAAGCGTGATTCACGCTCATAACGCTGTGTCCAGTCACAGCCAGAGCGACCAGGTCGTGACGCGTGACCGAAGTAGCGTGTCAGCAAGAGCGTGACCCATCGATTCGGCCGGCGTCTTCCTTCTTCTTGTCCGAGGAAGGATTTAAAATTCTCAACCTAGCATTCCCTGGAGTAATTGGAAGTAATAAGTCTTTGTGATTCGACGTTGGGTAAAACAAGTGGTGGTTGTTATACCTTCACGACTTCCTTTCGGTGTTTTGTAATCGTTACTCCACTATGCTCAACCAACATGTCATATTTGTATCATTACCAAGCGTCACGTTCCTTTTAGACGTGACAAAGGAAATTGACTGGTTTTTATTTCTACTCTGAAGCCTTTACTCACACGTATTTTGCTGTAAATCGAGTCTAGTTGGGGTAACTTTGAATGGTACACCAGTTAACTTCAGAGACGCCAGTTAACGCGTCCGACCATGAAGAAGTCAAATCAAATCAAATCAAATCAAATCATCTTTATTTTTGCACAGAAAAAACTGTATAATAGCGTCACAAGAATATATAATAAAACTAAATTATAAATGCTATTAGAACTAAAACGTAACTAAACAGTATCTTAATTCGATCGGCAACTTAAAAAATCTTTCACAGTGTAGGGAGCTTGTTCCAAGAGTATGCGTTTGACCGCTCTCCCAAATTTGTCTTTGTCTTGCTCCACTTTCAGGGGTTCAGGCAACACATTGAAAAACCTGATGCTATTATAAAATAGGTGTCTCTCAAAGAAACTTGTCCTGTGCTTAGGTAGCTTAATATTGTTTTTTTGTCTGAGAGTGTACTGCATTGAATGGAACTGCGGTTGATATAGATGATAATTTCTTTTTAAAAACGATAGACAACTGAGTATGTATATGGATGGAAATGTGAGGATATTGTATTCCTTGAAGAGAGGCTTGCAAGAAGTACGACGGGATATTCTGAAGGCTGCTCTTAGGGCTTTTTTCTGAAGACGGAAGACAAACTTTGTTCGTACGCTCTCACAGCCCCAAACTGCCACCAAATACGACAATAATGGGTAAATCAGTCCATAATAGGCACTCAAGGTTACAGGAGAATCGGTAAACCTCGAAAGACCTCTGATCACAAAAATTCCTGTGCTAATTCTTCTGGATATGAGCTCTATATGGTCATGAAAGTTGAGCTGTCTGTCTAAAACCAAACCAAGAAACTTAGCATTGCTGCAAGAAGAGATCTCTTCGTCACCTATCAAAACAGTCAGTGGGACTTGCTTTTTTGAGCTGTTAATATGTTATTGGAGCATTTTTGTTTTCTTGCAGTTTAGAAGAAGTTTGTTGTTTTGGAACCATTGCAAAGCTCTATTGGAACTCTCAAATGCTCTCAAAAGAAGAGTTGTTACTTTTTAAAATAGAATTTTTCATTTCCCTATTGCTTAAGAATATTTTTTCATGAACTAACACTACTAATAAACTGTAAATCTTGACGCAAATATATACCTAGGTAGTTTTAACTAAAATATGATACATAGTCTTCTGAGTTCTAAGGAAAACTACCCCGCCCGCAATTTCTAAATGATACACTTCTAAGAGCAGATAAATTAAAGTGCGAATAAAAGAATGGAGGCTGCCATAAACCAAATTGGAAGCAGGGCATAAACTCTTATCGTCAATAAACTTTACGAAGTGACTTTTAAAAGAGAGTAAAATCGTAATTTTGTGAACCATTTGGGCCAGTTCAAACTACCATCAATTAAAAAGTAGGATAAAAAAGTCTAAAATTTTCAAAACTGCGAACAAAAATAAGTAGAATTTATCGATATTGGCAAATAAAAACTACTTTTAGAAACACCTTAATGCACATCATCTTACTTTTCAAGGAGAACTTTGCAAACGTTATAACTGTCACCCAACTTTAGATTCATCGTTGTCTTTCCAAAGGCAAAAGAACGCATTACCATAAAACACAAAAAACGCTTACTGGCAGCATAATAACAAGCTTTCCCTTTTGCAATTCATATTTTCATATATTTAAAACAACATTTTCAATAATTATTTGTAAAATAAACAACATTTGGTATCAAAATACACTAGTTTATGTTGCCATCTTGCTGATCTCTGACGGGTAAGTCTAAACCCACTCGCGCCTGGCTGTCGACATATTTGGAACAAACAAAATAAAATTCACAAACTAAATGTAGTTGTGAAATTGTAATTAGTTCTGAAAGGTTAACTGAACGGTTATTATTCTGTGTTAATGTTTGTGGTTGACGATTTTCAACCAATATACCTTTGGCTAACCTCTACGATTATTACTGATTTCTTCATCTATAAGCTCCAAATCGTCCACTTAAACGTGTAATTAACTATAGGTTCAACGTTTACATAATGAGGTGTATTTTGGCCAGAATATTTACTGGGTAACGCAATCATTACTTTTCAAAAGGCAGCAAAATAACTGGCTGGTTTACTTTTAAGAACGTTAATCTTGATAAAATCCACAAAAATATGTCAACAGAATCAACTAAACAAAAAATTCTGTTGCAGAATTTTTGGACTGGCCTAATTTTCAAGTGTCATGGACCATGTGTGTTGGTTTTTGAAGTAGTGACATGGACTCATTCGCTTTTTTAAATAGTGTACCTATTGTTTATGACACCATTTTCAATCTTGACGATTGCTTAATACAGTATTTCTCTCTCTCATAGCAAAATATGTGCTAAATATATTTTCCCTACTTCAAAAACCAGTGGCATTTAGTAGGAGTGCTATTATGTTTTCAAGGAAAATCTGTAATTACTTCTAAAGTTTTCTGGATTGCCAAGAATCGAACTGTCCTTCTAACACTTATCACTGAGCTAGCAAAACACCCCTATTTGAACCATATATGAGTGACCAAAAGTAGTTAGTCGACCAAATCCCTAAATTTTACCTTTACGGAGTTACGTTGCACAAAAATGTGGATGACACTTTTAGGACCCCTAAGTTCGCCCCTAACGTAAAGCTAAGGATAAACGTAAGGCTTTCGATGTACCTTGTTAGTAAATGGAACAGGGTGATATAAAAGTCTGAATCAATGAATAAATAAACTCCTTTCAATAAGCTGGAGTAAAACAAAGAGTCAGTTCAGGCCCGCTCGCCGTAAGAGGGGGGGGGGAGTGGGGAGGGGATATTGTAGCCGTTATTTTGCAGTGGTTGAATAATTCACAGTTTCTGAAGCCTCTACCCCTTCGTTGTACACCCTTTGCATCTGCTTTACCCGCTTATTATTTAAAAAGTTTTAATAAATTTGCATTTTGACTAGGACTAAGCATTAA